GAAAAACATACGGCTTTAAAATCAGTTAACCTGATACATACTCCTTTTCTCTAATAAATCACAAACAATTTATAAAGTATTTCCCTCTCAAACACAGTTATCTGGATACAAGCAGCCCTGTCATCACATTTTTATTTTGATGCAGTTGTGACGTCATCGATCAACGTTATTAAAACCCTCTGACAAAAATCAATAATTTAACCTATGATGAAAAATGAGAATGCTTTTATAATGATTATTACTCCAGAATGCCTTTCTATAATTTTTTTTTTTAGTTTTTCTATTTATTTTTAATAGCGGAAATCATTCTTGAAGTAGATAAAGTAGTTAAAGAAATTCTCTCTTTCTGAATGTTATTACCCAAGTGTGAAGAGTTATCGTTATTTGTACAAATATGCATGATACGAAAAAATAAAAATATGGCAGTTCTCTGTAATTTTAAAAAGTTTTATTATACAAATAAATATACTGAAAGGAAAAAGAAACGCATAATAGCATAATAGCGAAATATATTTAACTATAAGGCCGAAAATTATGAAAATTGGTCAAATGTGTATTTTGATTACTGTGCACTAAAATTGCTGGTCAAAATTACTCAACCATGAAATGTATGGCATCACGTAGGGGAAATGATAAAAAGCCAAAAACACGTGCATGTTGATGATGACAATTTTATGATCACATTTTGTGGTGCTAATCGATGCATTGAAGTTATAGACATCGTTTTCCGCATTGAAATCAGTATAAATTTCGTGCAATCATGGTATGGTTGACGGAAGTTACAATGGTTCGAGTAATTGAATTGCGTAAGTGAATAAAAAGGCAACAAAATGTTGCTGTGCAGTTTGTTTTAAACTTTTCAACAAGAAAGGGTTTTTCAGTTGTCGGAGAGTAAACTAAAAGGTTTCCAAACAACCATGGCGGTGACGTTGACGCGAAACAACGTCACATCAAGACAGGGCTTTTCATCATGTCACCTCGGTTGTTGTCAAGGTATTATCACTGAAACCGATATTTATACAGCAAACTATCATACCAATATTTTCACCCTAAAATTGACAGAAATTCTCTGCTCTAATTTGGTCCGCGAGCTTGGCAACTTTTACGTCGATTTTACTCTCACGCGCGCACGTACACGTCATGTGCGTAATGTTTTTAGCATGTTTACACTGGGAAACTGGGAAAATGTAGCCAGTGTTTGTCGAGACTTTCTCACAAACATTCACGTGTACAAACCAGCTGGATTCTGAAAATTCTATCCTAAAATGAAAATTCGTGTCACTCATTTGGCGGGGGATTTGTTGGCTTTGGAATAATACAGCTTCTATCAACCATTAAGACTATTGTCGGAAGAGTTGAATAATAATCAAATGAGAAAGATAAATGCTCTGGTGAACTCAATGCACAGGAAATTCAAGACTGTTACCAATGTGCAAGGGAGATTATGAGAATTTTTATTTTAATTTTGGGGGGTATCGACATATCAATTTCAATAACTCAGGAATTATCAGTCAAAGTCACACAAGATTTTGGTAACTTGTAGATTAAAGATGAATTAAAATGTTTGATAACAATACTGGAAAACATTTTCGAAATAATAGTTTTAATTTAATTTAAAAGTAAAATATGCGTTTCTTTTTCCTTTCAGTATACATTGACCAAAATTGAATTTTTAAAGTATAAATCAGCAATTTTATATACTCTGAATTTCTTAAAAACTTATTCTTATTCCTCTTTTGAAACATTTCATATATATACTTCTCAACACAGATTATAAGTATAGTAGAGATTGTTCTACACGAGTGTGATAGAGCAATTGCACTCACAGTAGAAGCAGTTGTGTCTATAGTGCTATGAACGCAGTTAATGACTACATGTTCATAGAGGGTGAGAGCAGTGGGTATGCAAATATTCCGCCGTGTGATTCGGTCATGTATTGACCTTTTGACCTCCCCCAAATTTCATACAGAAATGAAGATATATTCTTTCTGTATGTTTGTATAGTGGAAAGATAACGTAAATGTATATATTTAAGAAATAAACCTTAGGTCTAAAAATTGCAAAGATTAAACCCCTAATATGTCCACGGTACAACCTTCTTTTTTGTCACCATCTTGATAACGAATCTAAATGAAGTGACAGTGTCACTTAATATATACTGAAAGGAAAAAGAAACGCAGGGTAGCATAATTTTGAAAAAAAATGACCGCATGATCGAAAATAACTAAAATTGGTCAGATGAGAAATTTACTTACTTTGCACAAACAGCAGTGTTCAACATTACTCAACCGTTAAATGTATGACGTCACGTAAGGATAACGCCAAAAATCCCAAAACATGTGCACTTTGATGCGACGAATTGTCAAAATATTTTATTGCACCAATTGATGCATCTGAGGTATACACATTGTTTTTCAATATTCAGAGACGATATGAATTTCTTGCAATTACTAAAGTGCCATTGGGTCTGGTTTTCGAATTGCCTTATCAATGAAAAAGGAAACAACTGGCAAGAAAGCAGTTTCTTGTAAGTTTTCCCCCATAAAACTTATTACCCGTTGAGATGGTCTGGAATGGTTTTCAATCAACCGAGATGATGACGTTAACGCGAAACAGGGTCATGTTACGAGCGGGTTATTTGTCCTGCCGTCTCTTAAATCGCCAGCTTACTACCACAAAAACCGCCTTTCAAACTGTAGACTATTTAAAACATTACATTCACTCGAAAAATGAAAGAAAGCAATTACGCAATTTGGTTTTTTGTGCCGATCAACTTAGTGTTGTGTTCCTTTCACTGGCGCATGTGCGCGTCGTATGCTTAATTTTTTGGCATGGTTAACCATGCCCAATAAAGCCAGGGTTTGAAAGATAAACACTCTGATGAATTCCATACAAAGGCGAAATAAGGTTCATGACAGATGCGCTGTAGGGACATTGAAGATAATGATAGTTTTCGATTTTTCCCTTTTTTGGGGGTATCGTTATATGAGCTTCAATACCTCATAAATTATTTGACAAAATCAAATGGGATTTCGGTTATATCTTTCTGAAAGATGTTTTTAAAAGTTAGATAGGAATATCAAAAAATTAAAAGAAAATAAATTAAATTCACCTCAAAAGCATACCCTGCGTTTCTTTGTCCTTTCAGTATATGAAAGAATTAAAGAGAAGGATCACTATGCTAGATTTTTCAACTTTATAAATATCGATTTTAATTGTGCAATTTGCAGCATTTACTTTATTTGGAAAACAGAATAATTATTCTACTGAATGTTTAGCTTAGTGCTGGTCTGAAGCCCATATTGCACAGTGAATTTAAGAAAAGCTTGATTAAACTGGATTCTCGCATACTAAATAACCTACTTAGGAAATAGATAAATCCACGTAATGTTATGTTCATTTTTTTCCATTATCAGTTCCTTACCTCCTTACATAGCAAAGATTTAAATGACAAAGCAAGCCGTCGTCTGTAAAAATGTAAAAAAAAAAAAAAGAAAGTTTCTCAAAAACGTTTATGAAGGCATATCTCCTTATTTGGAGCTAAGACGTAGCTTACAGGTTGCAAAAAAAAGATGAACTTATATGTAAACTCCTTTAAGACAGATAAGTTTTGAAATGCATTTCAAATTGGAAATCGAAGCGGCTTACACTATCTACCTTAGTTCATCCTATCTTCCTATCTTTATTAGCTTTTTTTCATTTTATTCTTTCCTTTGTAGTTATTAGTATGATGTTAAAGGAAAAATAATCTTGGATTTACGAAATTGAATAGAGTTTAATTTACTAACTACACCGTAATTTAATCTAATTGACTAATGAAACACATGGTAATATAAACAAGGAAATGACATTGTAGCTTATTCTACATTTATTATTTTTTATACTTGTAATATCTTTCAATGTTATATAAAATATTGAATTCATGAGTTCAATAAACTATGTACACCGAATCTAGCTTTTGTAAAGAAAGGAAAATAGCGTGTCGTGTTTTATCATCTTTTCCAGGATGTTTGACGGTATTGCCGTAACATCACATGCTTCAAATCTATTTCTTATCCAATTATCATCATTTTTATGTCTCTTTAATTTGAAATAATTGATTCATTATCAGGTGTAAAATATATAAATTTTCCCCATACATTTGTATTTGAGGTATAGATCCTTCAATAAAGGACTTGATTCAATAAGTATTCATGTGAAATTGTAAAGCACAATAGCCAACCCTTCAAAAGTTGTGGCTAATGTAATAGATTGTAAAAACGTGTGTCAAACTCCGAGATCAAGGTCAAAAAGTCAAAATCAATGACACCCTAGTAAAGGATTTGTCTTAAGATATATATATATGCATGAGATATTATGAATACATGTGAAACTGAAATGAAAACAAAAAGTGAGGGGTACCTTTTTTGAAAACTTGGTCTCCGAAGACTACATAAATGTTGTCAATGAGGAACTCCTTTTAATATTAACTTCACATTTCTTGTGTGTGCAAAGAGTGGTTTCCACGAAATACTTTGATGTTGACCAAATACAAGATGTGAAAATTTCTTAGTTATGTTTTAATTGAATAAGCAGTTGTCTATGACTTCAAAAAGTCTAGATTTTTATTTTTTGTGAGAAATTATTGTAAAAAGTGTAGAAACGTGGTAAGTTTTGATATGGACTCTTAAAAAAGTTAAGGATCTTAAAGTTTGAAAATGTTTTTTAGAGTTTTTGAGGATCCGTATCTGATTTACACCAATTCTATTAGACCCTGTACATTTAATTAACTATTGAACAAGTAAATTATTATTTAAGTTCGTTTCGTATAAAAGTTAAAATTTACATTTTTTTTTCCTTTTTAAAATCGATTTAAGTGCAGTTAATGTTACAATCCGTTGATTCAGAATTGCATTTCTACATAACATAGACTATCATTAGGTATACGAATCAATCATCACTTTACTTGAATCATCGCCACTAAAAAAGTCTCAAGTGGACAGATTCTGTTTTCTTTCAAGGTGTGAACGAAACTGTTAAGTCAGTAGATGTGAAGTTTGATGGCTTCCTTTGGACGGAAGAAAGAATAGATGAAAACTTCATACAACACGACTCTGCGATCCGTTTCCTTTGCAGTTTTCCACCTTTACGAGATCAAAAACTCTACTACCGCATTACGTGGTATCTGGACGACATCGAAGTTGACCTAAACCAAGTAGTTAACGAATCTACAAAACTGAATGCAACTATAACAGCATACGAAATTTTAAGATATGGAAAAAAGCTAGGAACAGTGGTACATGTATTTCTTTATATTTATGTGTTTTCGCAAGAGAAAACGCTTGAGATAATAAAGCTAGAGCTTAAATATTACTTATGATTTAAACAATTGTAGATACAATGCAGAGTATGGGCTGTGCTTCAACCGGATGAGAAAGGATGCATTACAAGAGCCAGTACTGGATTTTTTGCAGGAATTAAGGTTTTCCTTGTTTTCATTGTTTCTTTTATCTTCTTTTCAGCAATTCGCATAATATTATTGGACCTGAATAACGAATTTATTTCCTGTGTTCAAACAAATTCTGTATAAACAAGTCACAATCAACTGTGTTTCACAATCGATAAGACTACGTCGTAAAATGCATCATGCCGTTATGTTATTTGCTTTTTATCATAGAGAAATTATGCATTGTGACGTCACGTCTTCTTTAATCCCCGGCTCAAGTCGGGTGTACAGAAATTTACACCCGACTTTGTGACCAATCAAAGCTTGTGTAACAAGCTACATAGGAAATAAGGTGAAATACATCCATTAAAATATTTTATTGACTTCTTCCAAAAGTAAACGCAGAGAGTTAAATATAAACGCCATGTCTTCTCTCATTTTACAAACCCTAAACGTGCTATTGTTCCAAAAAAGTGTACTGTGAAATCACTAATTTTCGTGGGGGTATAATTTTCTATGTTATCAAGGTATGTAGAGAATTTATGTCAACCACGAAATGGAATTATATTATATATATTACAACTAAACAATTCTTCAACCACGAAATCAAATCACTATGAACCAATATATTTTCCTCAAACCGCGAACATATGTGATTTTACAGTGTTACATACATTGCTTTCCTTTTCGCACAAACCTGCTTAGTTGAACACACACACACACACCCAAATCCACACTGTACGTGCATGATTTTAGTTAATTTAATATGTTTATAATATTTCGTGATATCCCGATGATTTGTCAATTCAAAGGAATTAAAGAATTGAAAAAAGTTTATCTCAAAGTAAGCTATTAATTAATTAAAGACGTACAGCACACTGGGGGAGATAACTCTTGCGATTTCAATTGAACGTTTGGCGTGACGTCAAATTTAACGTAAAAAAAAGCGTCAAAATGACGAGTAAAACGATCCCGATGTATATCAATCAAAAAAGAAAAATGGGATATGGAGCTTGGCTGTGATTATGCGTACTATACTCAATCAATAAGTATTTTTTTAACCCGATTAAACTCCGTAAAAAGTGAGACATAAAATACCATCCCTTAATGTTTATTTCATTTCATTTTATATACAATGAATTGTATTCTTGATCAACGCGCAGCATTTTTTTATTCTGAAAATTTTATTTTACTTTGCCGAAATTCTCATTATGTACAATTGGCTCTGTAACATTCCGATTAATGGTCTTCATTACAATTTGTGCATTTACGATATAAATATTGGTTGTTTTTTTTTCTTCTTTAATTAAATAAAACAATTTCCTCAGACACTTACTGATCAAAGAGGAACAACTCCGAAAATGTAGGAGATGTTTATTTTCCTCCCATTATTCACGGTTTTCCACAGAATCAGATACATTTACAGCAAGACCTGATTAATCCGAAAATAAAATACTATGGACCTCATATACACAATGTAAATATAGAATAAAAAAGAATTTTTCACTAGTACTGAAATTATCTGCATTTATGAATATCCTATTGCAGCAAATCGACTGTCAACAATGTCGGTTCGCATTTCCTCGAATCAAAACAAAACGTAGCCTATAACATGTATAAGATTTTTAAAAAATATCAATGTGTGATTTGATATAAATTGAAATAGATGAAAAGTCTAATGTTTGATATTTTATAGTTAATGTAGACAAATACGGAATTTTCATTTAAACTTTTAGAAGCAACAACTTTGAAAGAACGCGTACAATAGTCAATATCATGAGGGTTGTACATCTATGCAAATGTCGATGTATCCCCACGTCAACATACTGTCTCGTTTGAATTAATGACATGAAAGAAACTACAATTATTCCATTTATCTCACAGGAGAGTTGAAAATACAACATTTTTTAAATAATTAAAATTACAGAAATGAAATTAAAAATCAACATATTCAAGTTCAACATAACTTGAATTTGTATCCAGGTTCCATGTGATATGGAATGCATAACGCATCCATATATGGACTAAACACTAATATTCTTCAGTAATTTTTTCCTGATACATATAAAAACAGTAGTCAGTATTTTTTCTGCATTCATAAATTTAAAAACTAAAGCATACCTCCGGGATTCAAATGACGAAATACATGTACTAGTATATTTGCACTGTATATGACGTTTCGTCAAACATTCAAGGTCTGCGACGCAAAAAAGGATGGGGTGGTAGGGTTATTCAAAAATTGCCTAAAAATCTACATTTAATACGCTTTACATATGAGAACTTTTAAATTTGTAAGTTAATATATTTTTGAAGCAAAAGCAATATTCCAATTGGATTTTTTTTAAATGTGTATTTGTAGATTCACAGCAAAGTGATCGACCCCCGTCTGAAAGACGCGCGATAACGTGATTTATTGAGAAAGGGGGAGGGGGTAATTTTCGACTATTAAACCAAAACTGGTCGTACAAAAAATATACAAAAAATTATGAAGATTATTTTTACTAACAGCTACCTAAAGAAAGTTTTTTACCAAAATTAAACGACAGGTTTTTTCACAAAAAAAATTTGAATTTGAAAAATACACAATTTTCAAGGCTTAGATTATTCATAGTTTTTCAGTTTAAGGTCTTTAAAAATTGTTTTGATGATATTTTTATCAAAAAGATGACTATTTTTTGTGTTAAATGGTTTAAGGAATAAGTCAATGAAATTTCACATAGATATCTAACTTGGCTTTTTCGAAAATCAAGGTTTAAGTAGTTCATTGATTAAAAATTTTCTCTCCTTGTAAACAACTAAAGGGGGGTAACTTTTTGAATTTCCTGTCCAAAAACCACTCGAACGATTTTGTCTAAAATGTGCATACATGCAGTAGGTATAGTCATGTACTAAATATTTGAAAATAACGAAAATTAAACGACAGGGATTTTTTGGGGTTGGTATGTTGTACATCCTTAAGAGTTTGCATACCTTTCAACTTTCCCGAAATTGTCAATGAATTTAAAAAAAGTAATACTGCTGTTATAGTAACACATGCATGTATAACACATCTTTTCTTAGATGGGATGTCTTAAAAAAATTAGAAGACAGCAGTTTGGAAAATCACATTTACCATTCATTTAAGGTAGGATTCCTCTCTGGTTTCTGACTAGATGAAACATTCAAAGTATATTTACTTATATGTTTTATATATTAAGTGTAAGGGATTAAAAACACCATATTTTTCTTTCCTAATCACAATTGTACGACTTTAAATAGAAATGGTAAACTACGATTGAACACTATCAGGTACTTTATTTTTGGCGGAATGGTGGCGTAGAAAAATATACTCTGTTCTGCCTCTCAAAATTATAATAGAACAATGAATTTAGTTATAATTTTTTACAGAATCAAAGACTTGAGGAAATTTTAAATGTAAGTTAAATTAATAAGAAGAGACAAAACATTCAAAATACATGTATATCAATTATATTTGATTTTTCAAACAAACTAGAACTGTGTTAGCTTTTAAACGCTTCCAATCAAAGTAAAAATTTGAACTACAAATCCATAAAAGGTATTTTTTCTCTCTTAGTAAACGATCAAAACATTTTTGTTTCATTTTGCATATTTGTAAGACTACTTTATTATATGTGAAAATAATAAAAAGTTAAATATAGGAAGCATATAAAAATAACTAATATATTCCAAAAAAATAAGAAAAACATGTATGTAAATTTAGTAATATCATGCTATAGACCCGATAGTAATATCTCTTTATGCAAAAAGGATAATCTTTAATCTTTTGAAATAGAAGTAGGCATCTCATGATTGGCAACACAATTTTTTATTCTTAATGTCAAGGAAAAAGATAATGACCTTGACCTGACCTTGCCTTTTATATAAAACGGTTAAATTTAAATTTACTGGTACCTTCACTTAGTGATATTGTCTTCTTGATTCTGTGGAAATTTCATTAATTTTTAAATACAAGATATATGAGAAGAATCCTACCTTAAAAATTTGAACATATTATTGATAGTTTGAGCTACGGTGGAAAAATTCTTTAAAACCTTTAAAAAAACTGTAACTTGTTTTGAAAATCATGGTTTTTCTTTTTTTTTATATATATATAAAACTTGGGCCCATATGTTATAATTTGAGATACATTAGACATTTTCTTTAAGTCTTGAGTCTTAAGACTGATTAAAAATTTTAGATATTTCAAAATTGATCTTTCTTTAGAAATTTTTGAAGCAGAAAAACGAGATCATTTCTTACGCCGCAATTCCCTTAAAATTTAGACCTTGCTAGGTTTTAAACTCAGTTACCATTTCATTACAATAATGAAGTGGTGAGAAAATATTATCTTTAAATCCTTTTCATCTCAATATGTAAGACATATAAGCAAATATACTTCGAATAATTCATCTATTCAACAAACATAGAGAATCCCCTATTAAAGACGTACAAAACAGAGTGTAAGAAAACTCTTCTTATTTCAATATAATGTTTAACTCGACGACAAAATTGACGTTAATTTCTAAGTGTCACAAACGATTTGACCCCGATGTATTTAAAAGCACACTTAGATAAGGGGCTATGATTGTGGTTTCTTTTTTAATACAAAATTGTATCCATAATTATTTGCGCATTTGCGTTAACTCCCACCTCAAATAAAAAAGAGGAATAGAAAGATTTGCCTTTCATTTTTTTTCAATAGCATATATCATGTATATTAAATGCATCGGTGATTATACAACGGCATTTTATATGATCTTTTCTATATATCTTACTCTTCTTTCACAATTGTCTACATAAAATTCAGATTACCTGTCTATTTTACAATATTTTTTTTTTCCTTTTATTAAAAAATATCATGTTTTGCAAGATAATACATGTATATCGAGACAGTTTTCAGAAGTTCGCTGATCAAAAGGGAACATTTATGGAAGGTTTATGTTTTCCCTTCCCTTAAGTTAAGTTAATCCTCCTTTTGAATTTGCATTCCCCGAAATAAAATGAATGTAATTCAGGCATGCCTTAGTCATAAATAG